GGATGGCTGAGCACCTGACTCAGGCTGAAGCCACTTAACTGGCTTAGGCTGTTTTCTTTTTTGGCTTTTGTTTTGTTTTTTTCAACTTGTGCATTTAATTCCTTGCTGATATGATTCATTAACGTTCATTCATGTTGGTGGGATTTGGTTAGCCAAGCCACTAATTATTTTGTTAGCTACAGACAGCCAGCAGCTAAGGTTGACCACCTCAGGTACAGGCGAGATGGTTAGCTTGAGGGCGCCTTCAGAGCTGCAAAGCAGTTGGAAGCTTCAACAAGCTGCTCGTTTTGAGCAAAGGCAGAAGCTTCAGCTAGGCTTTGACAGCTTGAGCCAGTGTCAAGGGGCATTCAGGTTCATTTCAGGCATGCATTGCAGGCCTCGATTTCAGGCTAAGACACCAACATGTTCAATTAATTATGGTGTTGCTGGTTCAAGTTCAGCTTGAGTTGTTTGATGGAATTGCCTGATGAACACTTCAGTGCCTCTTCAGCACACTGCAGTGTTTTTAGAGCATGATTGAGCTGGGCAGACCTGCTGCTCACTGGAACACTTGAGTAATTACCTAATGAAGTGTTTGAGGAAATCATTTCAGTGTTAATCATTCAGCTCATGTGAAATTGTTCATAATTAGGTGTGGTTCTGAAGCAGTGAGCTTTTTTTCAGCCCAGCTTGAGCTCAAAGACAGACCATTTGCTTTGCAAAAATAGTTCAGCATTTGCAGCCAATTTCATGCATGTGCAGGTGAAAGGTTCAGGTGCAAGCTTCAGATTCCTGCAGCATTGGAATTCAGTGACTTTTCTATGAGTGGCTCAGATACTTTTCTGTTTGAGTGGCTTCAGCCAGCAATGGCACAAGAAGCAGATGCAGCTTATCAACTGGGGGTTTGGCTTTGGGTTCTGTGGTTGAGCAACCAATTGAAAGGGGAATGCTTTTAAGCAAGTGGGCCACCAATTGAAAGGGGATGCTTTTAAGCAAGTGGGCCACCAATTGAAAGGGGAATGCTTTTGAGCAAAGCAAGTGATAGTTTATTTTCTGGCAGGGGGGGCTGGGGGCTTGCCACTATTGTGGTCCCCTAAAACAATCACATTATTGTGGTTCTGTGGGGTCTGTGAGGGGTACCCTTGTCCTGATTGTTTTTTGCAATTTTTTAGCACGGTTTAATAAAGAGTTTGCAGTTTCAGGGCTGGGGATGGTTTTCAAATTTCAGAGTTTCAGCTGGCTTTGGGTTCTGTGGTTGAGCAACCAATTGAAAGGGGAATGCTTTTAAGCAAGTGGGCCACCAATTGAAAGGGGATGCTTTTAAGCAAGTGGGCCACCAATTGAAAGGGGAATGCTTTTGAGCAAAGCAAGTGATAGTTTATTTTCTGGGAGGGGGGGCTGGGGGCTTGCCACTATTGTGGTCCCCCTAAAACAATCACATTATTGTGGTTCAGTGGGGTCTGTGAGGGGTACCCTTGTCCTGATTGTTTGTTTGGCAATTTTTTAGCACGGTTTAATAAAGAGTTTGCAGTTTCAGGGCTGGGGATGGTTTTCAAATTTCAGAGTTTCAGCTGGCTTTGGGTTCTGTGGTTGAGCAACCAATTGAAAGGGGAATGCTTTTAAGCAAGTGGGCCACCAATTGAAAGGGGATGCTTTTAAGCAAGTGGGCCACCAATTGAAAGGGGAATGCTTTTGAGCAAAGCAAGTGATAGTTTAGTTTCTGGGAGGGGGGGCTGGGGGCTTGCCACTATTGTGGTCCCCTTAAACAATCACATTATTGTGGTTCTGTGGGGTCTGTGAGGGGTACCCTTGTCCTGATTGTTTTTTGGCAATTTTTTAGCACGGTTTAATAAAGAGTTTGCAGTTTCAGAGCTGGGGATGGTTTTCAAATTTCAGAGTTTCAGCTGGCTGGGCCACCAATTGAAAGGGGAATGCTTTTGAGCAAAGCAAGTGATAGTTTATTTTCTGGGAGGGGGGGCTGGGGGCTTGCCACTATTGTGGTCCCCTTAAACAATCACATTATTGTGGTTCTGTGGGGTCTGTGAGGGGTACCCTTGTCCTGATTGTTTTTTGACAATTTTTTAGCACGGTTTAATAAAGAGTTTGCAGTTTCAGGGCTGGGGATGGTTTTCAAATTTCAGAGTTTCAGCTGGCTTTGGGTTCTGTGGTTGAGCAACCAATTGAAAGGGGAATGCTTTTAAGCAAGTGGGCCACCAATTGAAAGGGGATGCTTTTAAGCAAGTGGGCCACCAATTGAAAGGGGAATGCTTTTGAGCAAAGCAAGTGATAGTTGATTTTCTGGGAGGGGGGGGCTGGGGGCTTGCCATTATTGTGGTACCCTAAAACAATCACATTATTGTGGTTCTGTGGGGTCTGTGAGGGGTACCCTTGTCCTGATTGTTTTTTGGCAATTTATTAGCACGGTTTAATAAAGAGTTTGCAGTTTCAGAGCTGGGGATGGTTTTCAAATTTCAGAGTTTCAGCTGGCTTTGGGTTCTGTGGTTGAGCAACCAATTGAAAGGGGAATGCTTTTAAGCAAGTGGGCCACCAATTGAAAGGGGATGCTTTTAAGCAAGTGGGCCACCAATTGAAAGGGGAATGCTTTTGAGCAAAGCAAGTGATAGTTTATTTTCTGGGAGGGGGGGCTGGGGGCTTGCCACTATTGTGGTCCCCTAAAACAATCACATTATTGTGGTTCAGTGGGGTCTGTGAGGGGTACCCTTGTCCTGATTGTTTTTTGGCAATTTTTTAGCACGGTTTAATAAAGAGTTTGCAGTTTCAGGGCTGGGGATGGTTTTCAAATTTCTGAGGTACACAATCTTCAGCTTGTTGCTGAAGGAGATGCAGAGCTGTCAGAACAGCTTTGTGAAGAAGAAGGTTCAGAGCCACCTGAGAAGAAAGCAAAGCTTCAGTTTGGACTTTCCAGGTTTTGGGGTTCACCTGAAGCTAAGAAGGAGGCCCAGCCAGTGCTTAAGCATGTTCACGTGCCCTACTTCAGGGCCAACAAGAGCAAAACACAGCTTGAGGCTGAGGCAATGAAAGAAGACTTTCAGAAGCAACTTGAGGAGATCCAGCAATTTGCTTTAGAGAAAGGCATTGACTTGAAGTCACAAGTTAAGAAGAAGCAGCAGAGGAACCCAGGAGGCAGGAAAAAGGCTTTGATTTCAGCACCAGTTGGGAGCTCCAACAGAAAGTTGCCTCACAAGACAGCACAGAGGCATGAGTTTCCTGCAAGGTTCAAGCTTAAGATGAGCCGAGACATGAGGAAAGCTATGGAGACCTTCAGTAGCAAGTCTGAGTTCTGGAAGTGCCAAGTTCAGAAGTATGCTTTGTCCAAAAAGGCACTTCAGAACATCTTGAGCAAAGAGCAGCACTGGAGCAACCTTGTTGAGCAGCAAAAGCTGAAGACACCTTCAGGAAAGAAAGCAAAGTCAGCAAGGGTGAGATCCTCAGGTGGAGGGAGGAAGGACGCCTTTAAGTCTCTGATCGCTGTGGTCAAGCAATGGATTGCAGTTGAGAGGAGTTCAGGACACACACTGAGCAAGTCAGACTTGTTTCAGGAATACTTGCTTCTCTTGGATCAGAAGGCTGAGGAGCTCATGCTTCAGGCCTCAAAGGCCAGGACAGAGTTTGACAAGATCAAACTTGAGGCTCAGGCAAACCTTGCAAGGCAAAGGAAGCAGAAACTTCTTGAGTCCAGAGGTTATGCAAAGTCCTTCACTCAGAGGCTTTTAGAGAACACAGGCTCGAAGTGGAAGACAGCTGAGGTTGTCAGCAACATAAGCGAGCTTGAGTCCAGAGTCAGGTGCCAATTGACATGGCAAGCCTTTGATTCAGCACTTTACATGGCAACACTGGCTTCAGCACAAGAGCTCAAAGCTTCAGGCTTTGTTGCAGCACCTGAGCAGTATGTTCAGGCAAGATCTGAGCATTTCATTGTTGGTTTTTCAGACCAAGTGCCCCTTTGGGCAAAGTCTCAGGGCAAGAAGGCACTGTTTGCACAGCATGAGATGCATTTAGAGCACAGCACCAAAGACTTTTCAGGGGTCAGGGATGCCATTGCAGAAGCTTTGAGCAACAAGCATGAGCCTGGCCTTGTGGTGGGCGCTTTGCCTAGGCATCAGGGGCAAGCATTGAGCACACCTGACTTCAGGAAGCAGGGGAGTCACACTAGCTTCACTTCAGCAGCACCATCCTCTTTTGAGAGGAAGTCCAGCCTTGACACAGACATCTCTTCACCAGGGAGCATCAAGAAGAAGCTTTCATTTGAGGAAAGTGGCAATGATGAGGCTGTCACTTCAGCAGCCAAGGATTCAGCAACAGCTTCACAGGAGCCCAAAGCTTCAGCTGAGGAGCAGCCAGCCACAGCAGCTTCACAGGAGCCCAAAGCTTCAGCTGAGGAGCAGCCAGCCACAGCAGCTTCAGATGAGCCCAAAGCTTCAGCTAAGGAGCAGCCAGCCACAGCAGCTTCAGATGAGCCCAAAGCTTCAGCCAAGGAGCAGCCAGCCACAGCAGCTTCTCATGAGCCCAAAGCTTCAGCTAAGAAGCCTTCAGCCAACACTTCAGCACCTGGCTCTCTCACAGTTGTAGGCCACAGCACTGATGAGAGATACAGGATCACTTATGAAGCAAGACAGCTGATTTCAGGGCTGGATGGTTCAGGCAGCAAGCCTGAGGGCCATGTTGGCAAGGGCCTTTTAGTTGTGCCTGGTACTTGGGCAAGGCTTTCCAACATTTCAGATGATGGAAGATGGATTAAGCACGAAGAGTTTCAGGTTGGCTCCAAGACTTTTGTTCATGGTCAAGGAAGGTCAGTTGGAAGAGTTCTTGAGAGCTGGAGGCAGTTGAGGAAGGACAGGCCTGAACTCTTTGAGAGGATTGAGGTAATGTCTCAGCCAGCTGCAAATGTAGACTCACTGATCTTGAGCTGGGTCATTGAGTCTCAGGCTGAGCAGTATCCAGCCTCTTTGTGGCAGAGAGACTGCTTTGCTTCTGTTTTTTCAACAACAGCAACTGAGGCCATGCATTTAGCCAACCAGATCAGCACTCTAGTGGCTGCTAAGTGCACCAGCAAGCTGCAGATTACAGACAGTGACTTCAGCAAACAATTCAAGTCACTTGTCAAAAGAAAGCTTCAGCAACTCAGGCATGACTTTCAGCAGAAGTATCAGCAAGATGCTGCCTGGAAGGTTGGCAGTTTGGAGATACTTGAGTCTGTGGTCTTTGCCCAGGAGGAGATGAGCAAGAAGAACCTTGAGGATGAATGGGTTCTTAAGGCAGCCATCAGAAATGGCATCTTGGGCTACATCCCTTCAGGAGGCAAGCTTCAGAAGGTCACTGAGTGCAGCTGGGCTCAAGCAGAAGGCTTTCAGATGGGAACAAAGAGAATCCCATCAGATTGGTTCAAGGACAGATTCAGTTGGCTCAGTCCTGATGGCAAGCCCATTGAGCCAGACTGGTCTCTTTCAGACAGCGCCTCAGAGATTGCAGACCTTCAGAGATGGGACTACCACAGCAAAGAAGATGAGCAACATGATTCAGCAGATGAGGGCCAACACCTTGAGCTGGTTGAGATTGAAGGTGAACTTGAAGAGCAGCTTGAGCTCAGTCTTGAGAACTCGCTGAACCTGAGGCTTCACCCATCCTTGAGGAGAGCTCTGCACAAGAGACTTGCAGACCCTGCTTTTGAGCAGTTGAAGAAGAAGAAGGAGAAAAAGGTTCAGAGAAAGCACAGGCTGAAGTTGAGGCAACTTGCCAGAGATGAGCTCAGGAAGGTCACACAGCAGAAGCTTCAGAACCATAGCAGGAGAGAGGTTTTGGAGACCTTGAGGAAAGAAGTCAAAGGTCAAGCTAAGGCCAAGGCCAAGGCCAAGGCTAAGCTGAAGCTTTCAGCAATGGTCAAGCCGTCCAAGACCCACAAGGCTTCAGCAAAGTCAAAGCCTTCAGTGCTTGCCAAGAAGAAGAAGAAGAGTTCAGCCAAGAGCAGCAAGGTTGCTGAGAAGATCACTGATGTGAAGAAGGCTGAGAAGGCTGAGAAGGCCAAGAAGCCAGCACTTGAGGAGCCACTTCCACTTGAGGAGCAGGTTGAGGAGCAGGCTGAGGAGCAGGTGGACTCAGCTCGTGGCTTCCTTAAGAAGGAGGTTATAGTCACTTCAGAGGCAGCAGGCAAGTTAGCCTTTGGGCAAGATGGCACAGCTCATTTCTGGAGCCCTTCTTCAGGCAGGTACAACATTTTGACAACTTCAGGCACCTTCATGGTTTTACCTGAAGAGGTGGAGCTTAAGGTGCCTCAGAAGGTCAAGACCTTTCAGTGGCCTGCCTTCAGGCAGCTCAGTAGGGAGGAGATGAGGCTCATGCTTCAGCAGCTGTATTGCCTTCCTGAGGATGGCTTAGGTGAGGTTGACCTCTTAGCTGGGGTGCACAAGGACACAGTTCTGCTTGAGGATCAGCACATTCAGATGGGTTGGTCCCTGTTGAGCTGGGCACTTCAGAAGTCAGGTGCAGCCATACCTTCAGACCAGTTTGGAATTGTGGATTCAGCTCTGACCCGCAACATTGCACTTCAGGTGCATGTTGAGCACAAGCAGTTTTTGATTCAGAAGCTGAAGAACCACCTCGAGCGCCATTCAGTTCTTTGTGTGCCAATCTTCAGTGAGAATCCAAGCCATTGGACTCTGCTGGTTGTGGACCAAAGATTCAGCCCAGCCCAGTTGAGGTGGTATGACAGCCTTCAGCATCAGTCCCAGGATGCAATTCAGGCTGCAACCCTGTGGCAGAGTGGCTTCAGCTGGCTGGGTTTGAGCCCTTGAGAGTGAATTCAGCCTTCCAGGACAATTCAGACTGTGGCTGGTGGGTCCTGAATTACCTTGAGCTGGAGGCCAGCAAGTTGAGAGGTGAGACCATCACCTTGTGGCCTGCCTCAAGGGCTCAGTACTGGAAGAGTCGCCTTATCCAGATTTCAGCAAGCCTTGCAAAGGAGCTTAGCAAGGTTCAGACCCAGCTGGAGAATGACATTAAGAAGAGGCAGGATAAGGAGAAGAAGGCTCAGGCTGCTAAGGCAGCTGCTGAGGAGAAGCTGAGCAGCATGAAGAACAAGGAGTCAGCAGCTGCAGCCAAAGCCAAGGAGCTCATTGAGACCAATTCCTTAAGGGTCACATGGAAGGATCTCACCCTTGAGGAGAAGCACCAAATCAAGAGCCTTCAGGGGGCCCCTGAGGTATGTTCAAGATGCAGATGGCAGAGCGGCTGCCAGTCATGCAGTGCATTTAAGGCACTCAGGTACCTTGTTCAGAGGAAGGCAAACCTTGAGCACAAGCTTGCTTTTGTTGGAGGACAGGTGCAGTTGACTGTGCTGTTTTTGAGTTGCAGTGTCATTGAGCATTTGGTAGCACACATTGGCCTCCCTGGAGGACAGCAAGATGTTGAGCAGCTCTTCAAGTCCATGTGAGCTGCCTTTGAGCTGGATTTTTGGCTGGAAAACAGTGTGAGCACCTGATGCCTTCAGGTTAAGGTTCATGCCAGGTTGCCTCATGAGCTGCATTCCAGAAGTTCACCAAGTGACCAGCAGGCCCAAGCAAGTTTAGAACCTTTTCTGCTAGGTAGTGTGCTTTCAGCCATGTCAATGGATGAGATTCAGGAGACCCAGCTTCAGGCAGAGATTGGTCGAGCTCCTTCAGAAGAGTCTTCTGGCAAGAGGAGGAAGCTTGAGAACAAGGAAGTTGAGAATCAGGAGCAGGCCATCTTCAGCCATGCTGAGAGCTTTCAGATGACCATTGACAGCTACGCTGAGGAGAAGGTTCAGCAGGAGAAGGAGTTGAAGGAAGTTCAGCAAGCCACATTTCAGAAATTGAGTAGGACTCAAGCTACAATTGAGTTCTACAGTGGCTTGCTTAAGGCTTTCAATGCTCTTAAGGAAATTCCTTTTGAGCAAAGAGGCATGCACATTGAGCAGGCTCGGCATGCCTTTTTCCTTGAGACTGTTGAGGAGCTTGAGGGCTGAAGGGGCCTTCAGACCTGCATTTTGGCATTGGCTTGAGACAAAAATGAGCTGCTGCAGGGCTGAGTTGAGGAGCCACACGTGGTTGAGGCCAGTTTTTGATGGAGATTCAGGTGTGATTGTTTGGGCATGTTTGTGAATTTGTTGGCATTTGGTATGGGGTCAACATGGATTTTGGGTGATTGTTTGGGGGGGGATGGTTTTTTTTAAATTAAATTTGCTTTGGGGAGTTTTTTTTTTGATTTTTCCCCCTGGCCAAAAAAACTTTCTATTATTCTGGTCCCCTTAAACAATGGGGGTGAACCAGAATAAGGAAAAAAACTTTCTATTATTCCGGTACCCTTTAATAATCGAGTGCAAACATTAAGCGGCTGAGCATCTGTCCACTCGTGCTTGTTTTTCCGATTCTTGAGTTCCTGGGCTTCTTTCTGGAGAGCCTGCAGGAAGACACAAGCTTTAAATTCTACGCCAAAACAAAGGAGCCAGCTTCGGGCTGCAATGTTAGCAGGGGAAAGGCAAGGCACATGGATTTCCATCAGCATGGCATTGCTCCTCCGAAGCTTGGGATTTGCTGCTCCAGCATCCTGAGCAAAAGGGGCAATGTGAGTTGCAGCGCAGTATTTTTTTGTCAACTCGGTTGCTCGACAGGTCCTCAGCGGCCACCTGAGCCTCCAGCTGCTTCTCCCAAGCCTGAGCCGGAGCGCGTGCGAAGCTCAGGAACAATGTCGGTCCCGGATGAATAAAGCTATGGTTGATGAATCGGGGGCCCCTTTTCGTTAGGTTTGCAGGGGGACACAGAAAGAAGGTTTCTTCATCCGGGGCCAACGTGTATGGCCACCAGAACAGGAAGGCGCTATGCAAAAGCCAAGTTTCTGCCAGCTCTGCCATAAGGGCTGCGTCGCTTTTCTTCTTTAGGTCCGGGGATTGCGCAAGAACATGCGACATGCCCTCAACCAGGGTTGAAGTCGACCACTTCCTGGATCCCAAGGCTTCCATGAAACTGACTAGTCGGTTGCTCAAACGGCTTCGCGCACAGATGAGGCAATTGGCCACAGAAGATGCAAGACAATCCGCAGGCACAGGCACAGCTTGTTTTGTCCGCTAGACCCCCTAAGCCGTTCACAAAGGGCACAAGGGCAAACGGGCCAAGCCTAGAATGTTGCGAATTTCTGGGTCGGGAAAGATCGCCGGTTGGCCGCCAAAGATCGCCGGTTGGTCGCCAAAGATCGCCGGTTCATTTTTTCACATTTTTTGAAACATTGAGTGTGTGCTTGAAAAAGCTTGGCGAAACTCTCCGTCACCCCTGGTCCCGCAAAGCCTCAAGGTCGGAAAGGGAGGGGATAGCATCCTTCCAAAAGTGGGGAATCTGCAACAACCGGCTGCCCCTGGCATACACCAACGCATCCAAGACCTGTGACTCAGGCCAAGCGCTCCACGGCATGGCCGCCACCAGGTTGCGGAGCTCAGTCTCAGAAGGCGCCTGGCAGTCGGTGGGGATCGGCCCCTCAACTTTGGAAGGGTCAGGCCTTGTCAGGAAAAGAGCCGCGTTGTTCCTTCCGGATGTGGGGAAGCAAGCTGATGATGGCTCGGGCAAAGCTTGGTGGATAAATCCTTAATCAGAATAGCATCGAGCACCACCGCACAGAATGACAAAGTGCGTGGAACTGCAACTGACAAGGCGCTGAGTCCTCTTAAGGGCGTGGGTTCCGCTGTAGCGCATGCGATTTTCGGAATCTCTGCTTCGTGTGCATGTTTTGTGCTTCTCGGAAACTTTCTCCATCTCACTCTTCAAGAGACGCCCGCGATCCAGCGCGCCAATTGACTTTGAGTTTGAAATCACCATAGTCCGCTTGGGTGTTTTCGATCCAAACTTGTACATCCAGAAGCAAATCCGGAATGCCTGGGCAAGGAAAAGCCAAACCGCGCATCCTGCAATTACAATGATCCCTGTTATTCTCCTGTGTTCGCTCCATGGTTATGTCAGTGGGCCCCCAAATCTCCAATGTGCTCGAACCCAATTTCTACAGACGGTTTTTGGTGCGTCCTGGCTGCGCGCATCCCGAAGACTGCCTTTAATTGTCGGAACACCCAGGATAGACGTGGATGCAGGAGTAGGCTGCTGGTAGCCGGATTTTCAACGCAGTAGCAGGAGTGCATGCATGAGATATACAATAAGGCCGCCCTGCGCAAAGCAAAGCCAATTTCGCACCAGCAAACAACGCAAGCAGGCACAAGCAAGGGCCCTGTCCTGCTCCCCATGATGTTTCCGCTTCTTACAGCGTTCACCCACTCCGCCCCCCAAGGCACCAGGATATCTCGGCAGCATGTTGCTGCGCTCATCGCGCTGAAAGAGGAACATACGATCGCTATCATTGCCACGTAGCTTTCGCCGCGAAGAGCAAGGGCCAAGGCAATCCTGAGCGCTTCAAGTTTGATTGGGGCAAGGAGGCCCGAGTTAAAAGGGGCCCTGAACCTGTATTTTCGGAAGATCTGTTTTTCCAGGAAAAGCTATTTCAAGCACAATGAGCCAAGCTCGGGGGGGGGGGGTCTTAGGAAACGCACTCGCCCCGGACCAGCGTTGGCAAAAGACGCCTGCAAAAACAGTTTCTCACTGCTGTTTTGAAGCAATTTCCTTTGTCACAAGCCTGTGCGACATGTTCTTCATCACTCGGCTTTGCTTCGTTCAGGAGACTTTAGGATTGCGGCTTTCCGGGGCAAATGCTTGATGAAACGACTTTACTTCGTTTGAGGGGCCTGTTCCTAGTGCTGTTCCTGGGTACTTGAAACACTGAGGTTTTAAGTGCTAGTTCATTGCGTTTCCTGTTTCAACAGGCACCTTTCCGACCCTGCAGACCCCGACATCTTTTGGGCTGTTAAATTTAAGTGATCCCCCCCCCAAATCTTGCACACCAGGAATTCGGGCAAATCTTTTTACCGAGCTAAGCTGCAAATAGCCAGCTTCTCCATTGAAGTCCATAAAAGATCGCTTTCGTTGATTATTGTGGGTGCTGGTTCTCCTACTCTTCTTTCGGAAGTTGGGGTCGTTGTTGATCTCGAAAGCGCGAGAGCGGAGGCCGCGATGGGCTGCCAAAGATGCCACCCTCGCAACTCCTGCGAAGTATTCTATCACGGCCAGGCCTTGGCAGGAAGCTCCAAGCAATTCGCCAGCCAGCCACTCAGTGAGGAGGATCAGCAAAATGAAGTCCTCAGCTTTATCAACTTGAACGACAGTGATCTTGAGCCACAATTGAATTCAAGGCTCTTTGGGGCATCCCAAAAGGAATAGCCGGTGGACCAATCCACGAAACTCTTCTGGCTGCATGGATCGATGCAAGGTTCAGGCAGCTAGGGCTGGCTTGTCACGAAAGGCTGCAGAATGGCAGGCCAACATTTGTTCTTTTTGCTTTTGCAACCTCAAACATGCCGAGCCTGCCTTCAGGCCCCAGACCAACCCTTTGGCTGTAGCCGGCGACGGCCACAGCGTTGGGAAGGCGCGGGCGCCTGCCAGCGGACGGCCGACGCAACCCATCAGCAAGTGCAACGCAGGCCTCACCATCCGTGCTACTAGTAGCTCGTCGCCTGGAAAGAAGGCAGGTGGGAAGCTTAGCGTGAAGGCTGATCGAAGACTTGGCACGCACTGACGCGCTGCACTTGTTTCACCCCTGGTCGCTGGGATTGTCACGATTCAAAGATCAATTGAGTAGCACAGGCCAACTTGTTGCATGCAGCAGTCTTTCCCGCTGCATGCCCCCATTCCCCAAAAAGCGGTCAAAAAGCGGTCGCACGAGGCTCTCAAAGGAGCTGAAGATGCTCAGGGGTCTTGCTGCCAATCTAATCCACATCCGGGGGCTGACCTTGACAAAGCAATTGGATGAAGGCTTGGCTTTCTCCTTTAGAATTGGCCCGGGGTTTCTGTTAGACAAGCTTGAAGCGACAACCAAAGAAATAACATCTCAAGCCCAAGTCTGATGAGGGGCTGGATGGGAATGACTTCTGCAGCTCGCGCGCCGCTTGCAAGCACCCTTCGAGTGTTGTGGCGGCAGAGAAGGCTTTGTCTTTCATGCACAGGGTGTAGAACGGGTCCTGTTTGCAACTTCTGGTTCAATATTGAAGGGCTGGAGAAAACCGTTGACTGATAGGTCTGATAGGTGGTCTCCCACTGTTGTGAATACCCTTATAGGACAGGTTTACTAGCCGAACAAACAACGTCAGTCCTCCAAATAGGACGGCCGGGGAACTCGGTGCCGGACGAACTCGTTGAAGGTCTCAAGGGCCGCCTTCCACCGCAGCAGCTGCTCAGCCCCGCGGGGCGCGTAGCGCCGGGCGAACGTTGCCGGGCCTTCTTCAGAGTTCCTGCGCGACCTCTTGGCCTTGGCGGGCTTCTCCTCCTCGGCCTCCTTGGCCTTGTTGTCATCACAGTCCTGAGAGTTGCGCGCCCTCTTGGCTTTGGCGGGCTTGTCCTCCTGCGCCTCCCTGGCTTTGTTGTCCTCACAGTCCTGAGAGTTGCGCGCCCTCTTAGCTTTGGCGGGCTTGTCCTCCTGCGCCTCCCTGGCTTTGTTGTCCTCACAGTCCCGAGAGTTGCGCGCCCTCTTGGCTTTGGCGGGCTTGTCCTCCTGGACCTCCCTGGCTTTGTTGTCCTCACAGTCCTGAGAGTTGCGCGCCCTCTTGGCTTTGGCGGGCTTGTCATCTTGGGGTTCGTTGGCATTGGGCTTGTCATCCTGGCGATCCTCGAAGGCGCGGGCCTTCTTGGATTTGCGGGCCTCAGCGGGATTGTCCTCCTGGCAGCTATCGCTGACCACAACCTCCTGCTGCACTTTGGGGCTTCGCTTTGCCCTACCCTTGGCCTTGGCTTTGGGCGGCGCCACAGTCTTGGCAACGGGTCTCCATGTCCAGGTTGACAGCCTTGCCACCCGGAGTCTGCACCAAGGCGTCGCCCGTGTCGCTGGCATCCTGGTCAGAGATGCTGCCGCCCTCAACGCACTCCTTCTTCCCACGGCCGCGGC